CCGAGGACCTATCCCTGCCATCATTTACCCAGAATGCTTTGTGTGTAAATAAAATGGCCCCATCCATGTAATATATATTTTAAATTTTAGTTTAAAAATGATAAAAACTGAGCATTCTACAGCATTTTTACAGTCTTTATTTTAAAGTTAAAGTTTATGTTTATCAAATAAAGTCTAATGTTACAACTAATCATGGATCCCTTTAAAGTCTCTAAACAGCAAACAAAAGGTGTAAAATCTGAAATCAGCTTTAACACAGTAACATAATTAACCAGTCCTAAAATGCTCATCCAGTGGCACCATTAATAAAGCTGCTTTACTAATTCTTTTTTTTTTTCTTTTACAGGTTTTAAACTCAGGAAGCGAGGGATCATCAATGAGCCAACAGATGGGACTGGGAACTGCCCACATCTGGTGGAGGCAATACCATGTGAAGACCCCAGCTGCTACGAGTGGCTGGTGGTCAAACTGGAGGGGTGTATTCCCGATAACGAGAAGGATTGTGGACCAGGAATCCAAATTCCCCAAGTCCAGTGTGTCAACAGTGATGGTGAGTAGCCTTATGAAACAGTTCAGCAGAATCCATTTATCTCGGTTCAAGTAGGTCTTTAAACAAAATGTGTGGGCAGAAACAGCTTCACTGAAGAAAGCTTCAAACCTGATGGTTTTCAGATCCTAACACAAGAGGTGCGTTGGGTTTTATTTAACAGAAAATTATGCTTTCAAATGAAACATACTGTATAACAAATAATCTAAAGGTTTATTTACTGGAAATTGACATAGAAGGTATGACTTATATCACAATGATGGAACTTGCAATTATTTATTTTATAGACTTTCATGACACAGCTGCTCATCAAACACCAACATCTCTGTCTCCTCTTCCACCTCCCATATTTTACACCTTTCATGTCGACATTAAACAGTTTAAAAAAATGGCTTGTTTTTCTTCTCCAGTGACAGCTGGCAATTAATGGACACAATAGCAGGTACATTCCAGCAAATAGACAAATGGTAACAAAAGCTTTTTTAGTTTTCAATAAAAACATGAACAACAAATACATTTATTTTAATTAATGAACATAATCTGATCAGGAAGTTTTAGTTTTTCCAACCATTAAATCTAGCTGATCTAAACAAAGAAATACACACGTTTGTGTGTGAGTTCGTGGGGGTAGGTGTGTGTGTATGTGTGTGTGTTAATGAGGGCCCTGGGGAGAAACAGAAAGACAGACACAGGCAGAGATGGGGGGTTGTTAATGTGTTTCTATATTAAAGTAAACCAAGTCCCCATTCTTAGACAGAATTATACCAAGACGCATCAGCTCACGTTTTGCTAACAAACAGGGATGACTCCTGTTAAAGATGAGGTTTTAGGCAAAGATGTTGTGATTGAAGTGTGTGGGTTTGAAACTATCTTCTCGGTGCGATTTCTGATATACGGGGATGATGAGGAGGTTTGAAGCCAACCTGCCTTTGATACGGTACCTTTGTTCCACAAAGCTAAATTCTAATAGAGCCGTTAACTGTCAACATGTGAAAAGGTAAGTTGCGACTCAATAATGTGATGAAGTGATGATACAGAATATGGTCTGTGTGACCAGATGGTTGCTACATTAAATACAACAAAAGCTTCATTATTGATGACACAAAACTATAGTTAAAAAATAGTTAACCACAAAGAATATTGCTGAACTGAGTTAATTCATGTTTTAAAAACATTAGCAGGGAAACATTGGTCACACATTGAATGTGTTGCACTCCACGTCAAAGCAGATTGTGATCCACTCCTCTTTTGCCTCCATAAACTTTCCATAGTACCACTTTACAATAAGGCTCCCCTTATAGATGGCCAGATCTGTTTCTATAATCTGTAAATATTTTATAAATCATTAATAAGTGTTTATTATGCATTAATTGGGGATGAGAAAGAGACAAACTGTCTGGTTTCTTGCCAAATATTGAGCCAAATCTGTTCACATTTCAGACTAGGTTTCTATCTTGTAAGCACAATAATGATTTGGAAACACATTTTACATTTAATGTACTGTATTACTGCATCACTATTTGGCAAGAAACCAGACAGTTTTCTCTTTTTTCCTGTCCTTAATTAATGCATAATAAACACTTGTTAATGATTTATTAAGTGTTTAAAAATGACTTAATAACATATCTATAAGGGGAGCCTGATTGTAAAGTGGTTCCCTTTCCATTTTTGAAAGATTTTGTTTGTGCGTGACGTTGTCAGCTCCACCAATGATTTATGAATGGTCAGATGAAACATAGGTTGGGTCTAAATTCAGGGGCTGCAGCCTATGTGGTAGTGCGTGTTTTTGACCAGTTACGTGACTGCACCTAGCCGAAGACTGTCCCATTTCTTGAGCTGCTTCTTGTGCGGCCGACAAAACCCTGAAGATGAAAGCTGAGTGTCCTTTGTGGCTGAAGATATCACAGTCAGTTTTTACAGAAAAAAGAAAAAGGCTGAGTTTGGAAAGTCATCATGGACCAAAGATTTGGTTGTTTAGCAACTTTCCATATCCTTGTCCCCCATCGTCAAGGCAGGGGACATAGAAATACTCTCCGTCCGTCTGTCTGTTCACCTTGTGAGATGAGATAATGAAGGTGATGATTCCAACAAAAGCACCGAGCATTTGTAGATCAAAAGAGATCTTGTGATATCATGGAGTGATCACGATTTGCTACTTTTTTACCATTTTTACTCTGCACATGTGACGGTTGGTGTCCAGTTCTATCTTGTTCAACATTGCATTGCAGCTATTACAAGTATGTAACAGACGTTATTATCAGTCTACACAAACTGTACAGGGTGTGGCCTTTGGGTTGTGGTCTATAAGGTCTACAACCCCTGAATTTAGACATGGCTATGAAGACAAACTGGTCTTTGCCACCATTCCACTGAACTGGTTTGACTTGTGTTGGGGACAATGCTCATCTACTAATGCACCAAATCTTAGCAGATTTTTTTTCAGTAAAATCATCTGAGTACAGCCATTGTTGTGTTTTCTAATTTAAGTCAGTTTTGGCAGCTTTATTAAATTGGGTTGGTTTGTATACACCCAATGATTACTTTCTGACACTATAAACTGGAAAACAGTCTCAGCTAACACATCTGATTTTAGCTAAATATCTGTAAAACTGAGTACGGTATATCACCACTTTGTGTTTGCTGTGGCAGCCATTTTGAATCAAACTGGCTCAGAACTTTATAGATGTAAGTTCAATGATTACTTTCCAAAAGTTTCATTAAAATCCATTTAGTGACAAGACATTTCACTAATGGTACAGCCAAACAAAAGCAACACAAACACTCTCAAAACCATTATTGCTCTGCCTTTGCCCTCCTGGCAATAAAATAACTGAGGCCCTAATGACTCCTTCTGTGGTCCGACAACCAACCAAATCTTAACTGAAGCTGTTACAGCTTTTGATACTAATCTGGTCATTTTAGCTAAGAGGTTTAAACAGAACCTAACAGTCAAGTAACGAAATATTTGTAAAACAATGTACTTAACAGATACAACTTCATGTAGTTTTTTTGAGTCTTTTTTTTTTTCAGATATAGGAGAACTGTGTGGAAACTGTTTGAACTGGATGATGGCTGACTTTAACCCTCTGATGGATTTATCACTTTCTTCCACCACTCTTTATTATTCAGAGTCTTTTTCAGCTTACACATGAATATATAATCAGGCAAATCTTTTTGCTTCCTTGGATAAATTAATAAAAAATGCTATAAGTGACCTCATCCTGGCAGGTCCATCCTTTTTACTTTCCATCCATCTTGTGAGAGGCACTCAGCCTGAGAGGTGTGGACTCCGGTTTATTGCACCCCACTGAATCAGACATATTGGTAAATTAAATTAGCACAGTCTGCTCCTCACACTTGTCTTGGATTGAGTCTGCATTTCCTCCCCATTAACTCTGAATGTGTGTGAGGTAATCTCATCCGGATGTGGCAGCTTTGAGTAAAGGAGACGTCGAGCTTCCATCTGGTACATTTCCATGACCAGAGGTCCAGGCAGAAATAAAAAAAGAACTGGATACATTTTTATATTTATAGATCTAGTTTCTATCAAAAGCTTCCTTATGGTTTTGTTACAAGTCTTCTTTAGATTCTTTTACTTGATTGATTCCTTATTGGTTGAATTTAAATTGAAAATACAATTGGATACCTGGAGAGGGTTGAGATTAAATTGCTGACCTTTGGGCTAGAAGACAACCACTCTCACCACTAATCCATAGATGCCCCAATCCTGACTGCTGGGAGCATCTATTTATCGGGAACCACAGGCCTCACCACAAACAAAAGGCATGAAAGCCATCAGTATCATACAGACGCTTAAATGTTTGCCCCGGTATATTTGAATTGGAAGTCCTTCATTAAACCTCTGAAAATCTGATATATCTTCCATCGTCAGCACGTCAGCATCCCTCAGAATTGTTCTTAGCAGGTCTGTTATTGATCCATTGTTGTGTCCTTCTGATGGAAATGGATCTGTTCTTTCCCCCTGGGGTCTGAGACGTGTCATTGGATTCGCTGGTTGTCAATCTTTCAACCATTCACAATGAGCTTTTCACACATGTCTTTTCAGTGAAAGGATGAGTTACAATTCAATGTAATGAAGAAAGTGAACAGAGTAAGGACAGCTTTCAGGTGATCAATACAGAACATTTCAGCAACTCAGAGAGCTGACTGCTTTCAAAGAAGAAACCCTTAAAGCAGTAAAAACACACTAACCTAGTCTATTAAGAGCAGTCAGTTCAGACTGACAACATGGCTTCAACTCGCTTGATTCTACAAGGCTTCCACAGTATGCCAGGTCTGCATCATTTCTGAAAGCTAAACAATTTCTCATCCTACACCTTTGTCTTCCTTTAGTTCACACCAATCCTGCACTGGATGCCTTTGAAAATTGTATTTTTCTGCTATGGCTCCTCCTCTTGTTTGGCTGAAAAAAAAGAAAAACAAATGAAAAATGCTTATCTAAGTGGAAATAATGGAAAAATCGCTAAGCTATATATA